AATATTGTTTATTCACAAACTTAGAGCTAATGATGCTTAATAAGAGAGATAGAAGTTCACCAAAATACCTGTTCAGTTGAAGTTCTATCTGGAAATGAGGAAGCTTTCAGTGCAAGGTGATGATTGGAAAAGCTTCCTTGAGGTCCAGGGATGCTATTCCAATGTTTACTTTGTCTTGAAAGCTTTTGAATCGTGCTAGAGCACTTCACCTGCAAAACAAGAAACTGAAAATGGTGGAACTGGTTAGAGGGATTACAGATCGTGTTTCAAGTCATGGTTAGCTTGCATAGATGCTAGGGAATGTGTGTGAACTGGTTTGGGCAAGAGAGCTTGAGGGAAATGGAAGATGGCACTCAAACTGCAGGCCTGACCCTGTTTTTGCAGTTTGAAGGTGATTCTGAGATTGAGAGTGTATGAAAGGTGTTAGGGTCGTGCACTAGCTTGGTTGAGATGTCTTGAGTGTGTTTCACAAGTTCACTTAAGTGTTTGCAAGCTGATATGAGAGTTGTGTTACAATATGCCAAGTTACTTACACTTTAAGCAACAAATGCCCAAGTTGTGTTCTAGATCAGTAGAGGCCCCCTAATGAGCTGCATAATCCCTCCTTGATCAGAGTGTTTTGCTCATAATCTTGTGCCAATTAGATCTCATTTGTACTGCTTGGATTTTCAATTGGACATAAAGTTACCTTTTGCAAAAATGGAAGAAATGCTTTATCTATAAATGGATTAATCCTTTAGGCAATGCTTGAACTCATGAAACAAGGCCTTGGCACAAAGGTTTTGCATTGAATTATTGAGTGTCAAAGGGTTTTAGGACCTGTAATTTAGCACAAACTATGCTGACTTGAAAATGGCTTAAGTTATGAACATGTTCATGATCAATCAAAAAGTGAGTTTTTGCCATATTGTGAAATTCGATTCTCTCAAGTTATGAGGTTGTTTGAGAAGTTCTTGGACATTTTGGAAAGCTTGTAATGTGTACTACAATCCATCTTTGAAATGCAAATTGAAATTCCAAGTGGAAGTGTATGGAAAATGGCCTTGAAGTTGGGTAGAAAACCTTGTCAAAATAGGTTAAAATTTCACTAAGTTAAGAATGGTTTAGTGCCCTTATTCAAAAATTTGTAACTTGAGATATAAGCCTCATTTGGGAAAACTTTGTGAATCAAAGTTGTAGATTATGCAACAAGCTACAACTTTCATGTTTTGACTTTTGTTTGAATCCAAATGGAGCTTGGTGAGAAAGTGGGGCAAAGTTGGAAAAAAATTAGGGTTTTTTATAACTTTTTTCTAAGTTATGAAAAATTCTAATTTCTAACCCTAATTTGCATTTTGTGATTTCTTGGTGAACAAGTTTCATGATTTGGCATGTTTTGATGAAAAATGAATCTTGACTCTTAATTTTGACCAAAAAGTCAAAGTTTGACTTTTCAGTATACAGTCAAAATTGATCAATTGACTAGGAAATTCAACTGTCAATTTTGTGTACTTGGGATCTTTTGAGTTTGTTGAGCATGTCAAGATAATTCCATGGGGTCCTTGAGTCCATATGTGAGCTTGGTTTGCCATTGTCTAGGTCAAACAGTCAAAAATTGCCTTTGTGCAGTCAAAATCCTAAAAATGACCATTTTGCCCTTTTGGTGATTTGATCAAATTTCTTGTGGAATTGTGATCCAAACTTGATCAAATGGTTCATATGAGTTCATAATGTTGATGTGGGTCAATTTCCATGAGGTTTGACTGTCAATTGGCCACAATTGACTTTTTCCCCAATACAGCTGATTTCTAGGTCCACTGTCCAATTGACTGGGCAAAACTTGGAATCAAGGCTTGAAACTTGATGTGGATAAACTTGGGAGTCCAATATGAAGCATGAAAGTCATCTTAGGCACTTTAGGTCAAAACATCTTGGTGTAAACACAAACCCTAATTTGGGTCAACAGTGCAAGGAGAAGTCTTGAGCAGATGAAACCCTAACTGGATCTTGGGCTTCAAAGGTTTTGTGATGAGAAATCATTGAGACATGGGAGGGCAAATTTTGGGGTACAACACCTATGTATCCCTTTTAAGGAATCATATTTTTGTTGGTTTGTGTTTTTTAGTTAAAAAGATAAAAGCAACAGTCAAGATGGCAAAATATCAGATAAAATGTCAAAACATCAGCAACGATGATAAAACAACAAAAAAAGGGACGACAAGACATCACATGGCAACACAAACTCAGATAAGATGATAAAACGTCAGTATGATAACAAAATATCAGACAAGACGATAAAAGATTACACCTAACAATGATATCGAAAATAAAAGTAGGATAACAAACATATGCGATGGCGAAACATCAGCAAAAAGATAGCAAGATAACACGGAAAAGATGGCGAGACATCAACAATTCAGATGATAAAACATCACACCTAACAATGATATTGAGAATCAAAGTAGGATAACAAACATATGTGATAGAGAAACATTAGCAAAGATAGCAAGATAACATGACAAAGATGGCGAGACATCAACAATTCAGATGATAAAACATCACACCTAACAATGATATTAAGAATCAAGGTAAGATAACAAACATACGCGATGACAAAATATCGGCAAAAGGATAACAAAATATCTTGGTAAGGATGGAAAAACATCAAAACTTAGATGATAAAACATCACACCTAACAATGATATTCAGAATCAAAGTAGGATAACAAACATGTGCGATGACGAAACATCGGCGAAAAGATAACAAAATATCATGGCAAGGATTGTAAGATGTCATCTCAATAAGGTTTAAGACAAAGCCAAAAGGGCACACAAACAATTAAGATTGGTTTGTATTTTTTACCTCGAAGAAGGATTTAATTATTGTTAGGTATTTTGGAGTTTAATAAAGAAAAGGTTTTTGTTTTAATGCACATGCAAAAGGGGAAGAAAAAGTCTAAGGGAAACTATCATATTTTCTACGCCTAATATTATCATACAATGGTGATCCTATGTCAAGGATTAACAAAGAGGGAAATTTATACCTACTATTAGCACACATGGTTTGCAATCCTAATATCTATCTCGAACACTAACCTAAAAGAGTTGAGAAAAATCCTAAAGGAACATTGTAGCGGAAAACAAGTAAACAAACAAGTGCTTCGGCAAAAGAACGCAAATAATGCAATGCAAAATCATATGCAGGGGTGAAAGGGAGATGTTATAGCCAAGGGGAGGGGATCACCCGAGTACAAGCACTCTCAACTGCGGGATAAGATAGCTATACTGGACATTGAATTACCGGGAAAGCAGAAGATATGCATAAAGTGATGTTCAAAGCGTCTAAGCATCTGACCAAGATATAGAGGATCAAGGTAAACAATAGAAGATAGTATGAACAATTACAGAGTATCAGCATTGGACAATGCAAACTCCTGACAAAATATGGGGGATTAGAATGCAAATCCCTTTTCCACTGACGGACTCGATACACATGATCTTGGGCACAACCACAATAGCGTCGACATACAACATGAGCTGCGGGTGACACAGACGAAAACTGGAGGGGGTCGATTGCGAATCCTTTTTGCTCGCCTCTCTTTTAGTGGACTTAAGGATGGTCGCCATAAAAGGACCTAAAACCATCCACCGCTATACAAGCACAAAATGTAAACACACGTGCAGAATTGCCCATTAATCTTAGGTGGGGCTTTAAACAAACCAAGCACAAATAACATACAAAAAGCGGTGCCTGCTACAGGTCTTTAAACAATTACTTTGAGCGCACGCTGTTTTTATTTCCTGCTTCCTACTTCCCATGATCTCTAGAAAGCGGTAAAATACAGTATTTACAATATTTACAACAATAATGATCTAAATGTGTACCAAACGGATAAAATAAATCCATATACAGCAAAATCTACAACAAATATCTAAAATCTTCCGCAAAAGCTCCAAAAGCTAGCATCGACAAGAGAGAATGTCAGAAATGTGACACCGATGCAAGCAAAGCGCATCCGTTACCAAAGCGGTCAATGTCCGAATTTACTTCTCAAGACATGCACAACTCATCAAAATTATTAGCAAATAACAACAACATTGAAATGCAAATTGTAAGTAAGCAACAAGAATCAAAAGTAAACATGGTTATGTATAATACAAAATGAGCAAGATACTTGAACATAGCATGGCTTTTCCGGAAAACATTACATTAGTATCGAAAAGTGTACCAAAATCACCATACAAGTGGAAAAAGTGAAATCCGGTGTCAAGCATTAATGCATAATGGCTCAATGGTATGTGAAGAAAGATTTGAAACTTGTAAGAGGTGTGAGAGTTCCTTTCCGATCAGCATTGCACACACATTGGAAAAGTGTCAGAAATTGAGTCAAAACGCATAATGCTTGATATTGGAAACGATCGAACACAAGTATGAGAATGAATGGTCAAATGGTAGAAAATTAAACCATGTTTAGATGCTAATAGTAGTACTCCAGACAGCCATGCCATGTTTATGTAATTATACCCAAAAAGCGGTAAAAACACATATTTAAGTTAGCGGTATCAATAAAATGCGATATTTACATAAAGCGGAAATTCCTAAGTAACAAAGCTCAACGTACAAGTTACCAAGTTAGTTTGTTTAATGCAAGTTAGAAACTATGCAAGCTAAGAGGGAATGGTATCACAAACTAAAATTAGTGAAAACGCTATTTCTCAAGTAACGACGTAATATGTACATAAAGCAAAAAGTGCATCGGAAACAAACGGTAACGCCTTGAAAACTATACAGAATGAATTATATAAATTAAGGGAAGCTATACATATGCAAACGGTTACAAAAATCCGATCGATTCGTTCAAATTTCACCCAGAAACACGATTTTCGTAACGGTGCTGCTTCAGGAAAATCGGGTGAAAAATGTCCGAATCGAAAAACTGCAGGCGTGAAGAGTTTCGGATGGCTCAAAAGACATGGTTTTCATTAATGAAAGTTGAAAAAACTCAAAGCGGATTAAAAGTTATAGCAAAATACCGTTTATGTCAAGGTTTGGTCATTTTCCAAGAGAAGAGCCAATTTCCATTAAACTCAAACTAAGCTTTATCAAATGTGTTTCATTATAATGCTTTGAGTTTATTAGAAACCAATGCAACTCATGAAAATTGCCAAATGCAAGAAGTCACACAACAAAGTAGCAAAACAAACATTATGTGCAAAATGAGAAAAGTGTTAGTGTCTAGAGTAAATGTTAACATTCACATGAAGAACTTGTTGAAAGAGAAGCAAACTTTTATGTCAAAATGGATATTCCAAACAGCTATACCATTCTCATGTTATCAAGCTCAAAGAGCGATAAAAATACGCATAAACAAGTTACCGGTATCAAGAACGGTAAAACTATAAATACCGAAACAATTTAAACAAAATTAGAACGCCTTTATACATATAATTCACTATTCAGGACAACAACTCATACTTATGAAAATGCTCGACAAGTTGGCATAAATTGACACACAAAAATGTGCCACAAGTCAAATATGATGCATAAAAACAATGCACAAAAACTTGAGTTTATAAGTCGAAAACTAAATGAAAAGTGCTCAGAAATAACCATAAAAATTAAAGTGACATAGAAACGTGCCAACGGTTCCAAAAACCAATCCGGTTCGGCCAAATTTCGATCCAAAGTATAAAATCTGAAACAGTACAGTAGCACGAAAATGGATCAAAACTTGTCAGAATCAAAAAAGTAACCATGTTAGGAGCTCTGGATGGCTCAAGAAAGATGGTTTTAATTAAATAAAATTGAAAAAAATCAAAGCGGATCAAAAGTTAGAGCAAAAACGAGTTTATGTAAAAAAATGTCATATTTTCCAAATATTGAGATGTTTTCCACTAAACTCAATCAAATTTGTTTCAAATGAGTTTTGTAATGGTATTAGAGTTTATTGGAACTCATCTCAACACCTAGAAATGACAATCAACAAGTATTCACAAATATTTAGCAAAAAGTGAGTTTTATGTCAAAAGTGAGAAAATATTGGTAACTTAAAAATGCTATGTACAAGATGCATCATAATGCAAAGAAGCCTGAGATTATCAACATAAAAAAAACAGCAACAAAATCCAATTACTTTGACATCAAGACCTTGAAGAAAACTCAAAATACAAGGTTCCAAATTCATGAGTTTATGTCATTTCTTTTATGTAAACTTACAAACTTAACACAAACTCATGAATCAAGTTCACTAAATGCAAATTCTCTATAACATTTTGATGTCAAGCATTGGATACAATCAAAGAGTTATCATTAAACTACACCAAATGTTAGCGTATGTTAGTTTCTATACAATTACATTCTTGAAAATTTACTTAGAACTAGTTTAAGTTAGTTCCAAAAGTGAACAAAAATTCAAGATTCAAGAAACTAAACTACATCTAAGTTCGAGAATCAAAACTAAATCCTAAATGTTAATTTAGGAAAAATCAAATAAGATTCACATCTAGAAACTTCAACAAAGTTATTTTATGCTAACACTATTTGCTAAACCAAAATTCAACCTAAACTCCTAGCCTGATGTTGTATTCAAGCTAAATCTAGTCGAATTCTATATTCCAATTTACAATCACATCAATTATTGATTAATATTCAACAAGACAATTTGCAAGAGAATAGGATATAGAACCTTACCTCAAGAATTGGAGAATTGCATAACTGAAGAGGTTGAAGGAGGTCGGAAGTAGTGCGTGGCCGGAGGGAGTATTGCCGAAGGAGGGGAATCCGGCGGAGGGAGATGTGCCGAGATGAGGCGAATCCGGTAAAGGGAGAGGCGCGGCCGGAAGGGGCTGTTTGCCGGAGGAAAGAGGCCAGAGAGGGAGGTCGATCGCCGGAGGGAGGAGGTCGATCGGAGCTCCGGTGATGGTTGATGGTGGTTCGGTTGTTGGTGAAGTAGAGAGAGTAGAGAGGTTTATCAGCTTTTTGGTAAAATAAAGAATGTTTCTAATTTTTTGGGGGAAAAGATTTATATAGTATTTGAATTTTGAACTAAACCTTCAGCTTATTTGCCGCTTAACCTCAAATTAAACAATGATTTGTGAAATTTCCGACTTTCCGACGCAGTGTCGCCTGATAAAATGTCCGACTCTGAGTCACGGACGCAACTAAAAAAGAATAGACGATTTCTGACAAAAATTGAATAACATCTGACATGTTTTAGTGACGGGCCGTCATGATAAAAAATTCTAAAAGTCAAGATATCAGCTTATTTGATCTCTGCTACTCGGAAACGTCACAAGGCCGTGTCCAAGAAATCAGAACCTCGATTCGGCTTTTCCAGGAAAAATATGAGTCTCTAAGCGCCCGACGTCGTGTCACAAAAAATGAGAGCCGTTTGATTAACAGTTGATTTTTCATGAATTTTACAGTACAATGGCGTTCAGTCTGTTTTACTGGTACGAACAACTCCGTTTGGCGAAATAAACCAACAACAGAGATCTTTGGGCTACCGTTCATATTGACAATATGAAATGGAATTGAAGCGGACAAAATTAGCAAGCCAACACTTCGAGAACGGGTGTGATTCGAAAAAAATGGACCGAGTTATAAATTTTTGAATATTGGAAACCAAACAGACAGGTACCAAATAATTTCTCCATAATTCACAATTTATGCAGCCTTCCTCAAATCATCAGCTCTCGCCCCTGGACGCCCATCAAGAGGATATCAAGAAGAATTTTTGGGCACCAAAACCACGCTCATACAGTACTCGAGCCAGGAGATATGAATTTTTTAATGCGCGTGAAACACGGTTCAACCAACTGTTTATCAGTATTTTCCACTATTCAGCTTTGTCTGATTTGCGAATTCAGAGACCTTCCTTCGAGAATCAGCTTTTGGCCCGAACATGAAAGTTGGAGAAGACATTGAGACGGATTCCATGGCGAAAGAAACACTTCTAGACGGTATATAAAATCATAGTTATAAATTTCTGAACGCCAAAAATACCGTTGATCGATAACCCCAAAGCTTAGTAACGAAATTATTTGACCATTTTCTGTATATAATCGGCTCCCATCTGAACACGAAAAAGTGAAGATAATATCCACACAGACCCGGTGATCAAATGTCAGCTCAAAATAATACTCTAGCCTGGAGTTATAAAGTTTTGAAGTCTGCCTTACCGAAACGGACTTTCAACTTGAGCTGTTCCGAATCAAACATAATCTCTGGCTTCCTTCTACTACTCAGGACATGATAGAATACACAGGAATTAGCCATGGTAAGAAATCATTCATTCACTACATGGATTATCTGTACAAAGCTTCGAACGTCTCTGATAAGCAGTCGATACCTTTTGGAACTGCCTTGATCCCATTTCAAATGCATGAATATGTATGATATGTATATGATGAAACGTAAGCCATAAAAAAATCTGAAATCAAGAGGATAATTTTTGGGGTGCAACAGCGTATCATGGCTCACAACTAAATGAGTGTTATAACGATCAGATAGAATAGAATGATGTATTGTGAATACATTTCATTTCTATACATCGATGGTTCATCCGTTTTAAGGTAGTTAATTCAATTAGTCTAACCAAATAGTAAAAAAACTTAGAATAATTGATGTTTGAAAAATAATTATTCTAGAAATCCAAAAGCGGTTCCATAGCCTCAGAGGCCACATCAGGTTGGAAACTGGTGCAGTTCCTGAAGATGAGCTTATTACGATCATCCCATATTTTCCACATGATATAGCAACACAGTTGGATGTTGAAACTATCACTTGTGCACAGACAAAACCCAAGCCAATAGAGAACATCCATACCTGTAGGGATACGACATCCAAGAGCGGAGTAAAACCAGACTTGCTTAGCAAAATGGCAATGAATAAGGAGGTGTTCAGTGGACTCTTCTTCAGTATGGAAAAATGGGCAATTAACATCAACTATCAGACCCTTTTTGTGAAGATTTTACCTGGATGGGATAATGTTTCTTGCAACTCTCCACATGGATTCTTTCACTTTTCCTTGGACAGGTGCATTCCACAACTTTTTCCACACAGTATTCCTTGAAACATTCGAAGGTCCGGGTCGCGGACTGACACTTTCATTGATACCAACCTTTGGATATTAGGGATGAATCAATAATATTCTACTCTAGAACCAGAGATAATTGTAGGTTTAGAAAAGCTATCTGTTTATTTAAGAGTTGTAGAGGAAAATGAAGTATATTGATAGAAAAAGAGAAGAATATAATTTGTTGTAAAAGTGTGTCTTCCTTTTCATTCATACAACAAATATATAGGCTGATTGGTGACATACCAGCCAATCATCTACCAATCACAAGCAATCAATTCTAACAGCTTGTGACAACTCATTTGATTAACAAAATAAGGAAACGAAAAAATAGCAAAAATATAAATATTGAAAATATTGAAATACTATGACAATACCCTCCTTAAACAACACACATGTCCTCATGGGTGGAAATCGGGAAACTTCTTAAGCAAGTCATAGTAGATCTCCCAAGTAGCTTTGTCAATGGGAGTATCCTTTCATTGTACCAATCTCTTAGTAGCTGTTACTTTCCCTCTCTTCACCATTTTTCTGTCAAGGATGGCAATAGGAATCTGATTATGAGAGTGAGACGTTGTAGGTAGGTGTTGCACAACTTGGCCTTGTGGGTTTTGACATAGTTTTAATTGAGAAACATGAAATACATTGTGAATAGCAGCAGCGACAGAAAGTTGCAGCTTTTATGCAGTGGCACGAATGCGATCTTCAACTCGAAAAGGTCCATAAAACTTAGGGAGCAACTTGTGAGATGCATGAGGTTTCATAGAAATTTGTCGATATGGATGAAGCTTAAGATAGACAAAATCACCGACAACAAAAACACGATCAGACTTATGTTTGTTAGCTTGCTGTACCATTCTGTTCTGAGCCCTCAACAAATGAAATTTAAGGAGCTTGATAGTTGATTCTCTTGCCAATAATGATCTATCGACATTCAGATTTGAAGCAGTTCCATGGAGATATAGTAAGTGAATAGGTGGCAGTTATCCGTATACAATTTCAAGTGGGGTAGCATGAATAAAAGAGTGATAGTTTGTGTTGTACCACCATTCAGCCAGAGGCAGACACTTATACCATTGATTCGGCTGGTCGAAAGTCATGCATCTGAGGTAGGTTTCTAAACAATTGTTTACCACCTCAGTTTAACCATCAGTTTAAGGATGGTAGGCAAAATATTTATGCAAAGATTCTCCTTGAAGTTTGAATAATTCATGCCAAAATTTGATAAGAAAGATGGGATCCCTATCATTGGTGATGGATTCTGGTAAACCATGAAGTTTAAAAACATTATCCATGAAAACTTGAGCTATATTAAGTAAAATATAA